AAAAAACAGACGTTCAGCCTTGTTTAGGATAACAAATGCCACCGATTGAGTGACAGTTCGGACTTAATGACAATTTTCGGAGTGCCTTCATTTGTTTTCCGGCCCTTAAAATGCGTGGAGCCTTTAAAAACGACCTGTTATCTGAAAAAGCGTCTTGCGAAAATTGGTAAGCATCTATAACGGTTATTTTCTGAGTCCAGAGAATCTCTATTCTTTGTCGATCTTTTATCTTTTCATGAATTCTATATCCGATCTCGCCTCTGCGTATCATGAAACAGCGAAGACAATCGTAAGATCGATTCGCCATTCTCTTCGGCTGTTGTTTTGACTTTGAACGTTTGTCATGTCCTTCTCCCCCACGCGATTTGCTAACGAAACCTTTTTATATAAGGCTGACGAATCTCATCGCCCTTTTATCCCAAGAGTGGAATATTTCCTATCCGGGAACTGTTTACCAGCGTATTTTTGCTTCCAGGGAAAGCCTGTATGGTTTGAACTGAATCCCGCAGTTAGTTTCATTTATTACACCTCCAACGTAATCTATCGTATGTTTAGGTACATGTGAAAAATTATAATCCCATCATCTAGACACCTTGGGGCGTTTGAGTAGGTCATATCTCCATGGTATTCTAGCACCGTTCCGTTGGGTCGAACAGCAGCATGCCTGCAATTTAATTGTTTTACATGCAAAAATGATTATTGCCCTATGCAAAGCTCGGTCTTTATTTTAAAAAACAAACATTAATTTCCACTGCTGCCGGTAATAATGAAATGAAACTTATTCGGACCATAGAAAAACGGCGCTGAACAGACATTTGTTTTTATTTTATTCACTTATTTGCGGTTATGCCAGTTTGTTTCTTTGTCAGTATTTATATCGAAATAGCGTAAACCAGTCAGTTTATCGGATGATGCGCAAACGTTTCGCTTATGATTTGCAGACGTTTCGCCATTTGTCTCAAAGTTGCAGTCCTTGTTTAATGCTGATATTGTCGTCTGTCAGAACGGGCATTAACGTCTCGAAACGAACAATCACCTGCACATTATAAACTGTATAACCGATGTCTACTAACTTTACCTTCTTGAAGAAGCACGTGTGGTATTAATCGAACTATCGGTAGTAGCTAATCACCTGCGAGATTATGCGGCTGTTTTGTGCTGCATATGATTAAACCGTTTTATGCTGTATTTTAAAGAGTCACGAGTTGGGTTGATTTAGTCTTGAGCTACTCTGATGGTGGAGAGCCGAAGCAACAGGTCTCGGATTCGAGTGTGGGTTTTATCACGCGCCTTTCTTTTGTCTGAGGTTAATAAATAAGTACCGCTCTGTGGGAGGGAAGCAGGAGACTACACAGTATGTTTGCCTAATAGTTGTCAGTTCTGTCCGAAAAGTGGCATTCCTGGCTGACAACGCAGAATCGGAAATTAGCTTTATGAAATGAACGCCGTATTAGATGAACGCCCCATCGGTTAAAGCATGTCTTGTTTTCCTTTTCCTTTATGCTAATTTTACTGCATCTCATATAAGTTAATCGAAATGCAGTTATAAATGACAGCAGGATCATAGGTCTAGAAGGCTTTGGGCACATTCCCATCAGAAGACCACGTTGTCTGATTTCACTACCTTCCTGCTCATTACGCTTACTGATTCATAGCGAGATCAGTTCCTTGCTCAATGGAACTGATAGTTAATATGAATGCTACAACGTTTCAAATGTGTGAAGTGAACTTCAAAAGTACAAAAGCTGATCGGCTTCCCTCAGCGCCATTACCCGCTGTAATCTTGCGACGCCGATGTAGTTATATCTGGTTATAGTTTTTACCAACAGTAGTTAAAATCGATCTTAAAGTAAATGCGAACTTGCTTGATTATTTATTTGTTTATTTATTTATCACTTTGCTGTAAATCCATAACACCGGGCTTATGTTTATTAAATAAGCTTATGAATCGAGGTACATTCTTTGGCGTTCGAACATTTTTCTGCTAAACACAATACATGTTGCTGCCTTTCGCCCATGCACTACAGCTGCTAAAGTACTTCTGACGGTCGTCTAGGTTACTAATAACAGCAGAAAGGTGCGACTACGCCTTGTAAATCCCGAGAAGTGACAGGAGAATGTTATTCTTCCTGCGGTATCGAAAACTGGCACTTTGCTAATAAACCTAAAAATCTTGGGCCAATTTTTATAATCCTTTATAAGCAAATTTGTTGAGAAAAAATGACATTAAAAAGACTAAAATCTTGTACATTTTTTGTGAATAGGCTCAAGCATGCTCAATTATTGCTGTGAGGTTCTTTGGAAATTTTATTATACGTACGTTATCAGCTGGGATCCGCAGTATTCCGACTTGGACCATTGGTTAATGAGGTTTATTTTGACGACCAAAATGTTGATTTCATCAATTACAGTTGGAAAAACTTGATTACAGAGCGTTACAGCTTTAATGCTCTTTAGATTTGCCGGATTGTCCCGTAGTTCTGTCATTGTTGCTGAACCAGGTACGGGATGGAATTGGCATTTACTGCCGCTGGACAGAACGGAAAGCTGGAATGTTTGTGTCAAAAGAATCTGACAAATTCAGCTTTGAAAAGAGTCAAGTTATGATGAAGAGAACGCGCAGATTTATCTTGGAAAATTTCAAGCTCTTGGTTGCTTCAAGATGGTGAACCTGTTTTTAATAGCTTTTTTTTTTAAATTTCCGTGAGTTTAGTTTCCAGCCTTGTATGAAAGGTTTTGAACGACAACGTGATTTAACGCTGCTAATGATTTAAAAGATTTCAGAGTTGCCTAAAGGTCCTAAGCAAGATGTACTGTTTAATACGTATGATACAAAGTTCCTGTTCTGGATTCGACTTTTCTGTACGAAAATCAACGTTCGGTGCGGCAGCGCCAGATAAATTTCCAGACATTTACCAGTAGAGGTAAATCTAAATGGCTGGATAGATTATATTAAATGAATGATTTTGGGTTTTTTGGGTATTATTCAACTTCGAATTTGGTCAGGGTCACCGTCGAATTCTTTCCAGCAGACTTTGTCTTCATTTGTTAGTATTACGTGTGTAGGCAGAAAGAATTGAACAGCTTCATCTCTCTTCCAGCAGGTATAAAGCGTACAGACTTATCATTGCTTATTTGTAACAACTACCCATGGTAAGTGACTCTAGGTTTAGTGAAAGAGTTTTTGCCAAAGTATCCTTTTCTTAATCATATCTATCTTGGTGTAAGAGATGTGTTAATTGAGTTCATGGGGAATTTTTCAGACTGTTGCTGCTGAAAATATATGCGTATATTAATATATTTTATATGTATATATATTCATTTGTACATGATTTCTTTATGCGGGAGAAGATATATTCTTTTGGTATATCACAAACAATAAGACAACGCATCTAATGTTCTTTGATTAGGGACATCTGACGTTTCGGACTAAGCTCGGTCCGTCAGTACAGTCTACAATCATTGTAGCTGCAAGAATTGGTTGTGTATGATATTCTGACCTGCCATTAACTTTCGGAGTATATGTTACCACCCAGAGTGGTAATTCATCCATACCAGTATGGTTTGAAATTAATTCTTAATTTTCGATTCACTTCCAACAGGTAACACCCCGGCTTTACTGGTTTATTACTAAGTCCGCCGTTATATCGAAGCCTCAGCATTGTAGATTGCATGTTTAGACCATGGTTTTGATGCAGGTTGAGTTTTAGATGGTAATTCGGTA